CCGACAGCGGACAAAGATACTGGAGGAGTGAACAGCGCTTCGTCCTTCTCCAACTTAGACTGTCGCTTGAATACAGCCTCCACGCTGCGCGTGGGGAACTTAACCCCCACCTCGAGAGCAAGAGCACGTAGGGCAAGCGGACCACTCGCCTGTAGCACAACGAACGCAGAGCGACGGAGAAGAGCACCTTCCTGAGCCGTCCAGTTAGTTCGAGAGGGAGCCAGACGGCTACGCTCAGAGAAATAGGCAGTAGGGTGAGCACTCTTCACATGGAGTGAGAGGCCTCGCTTGGAGCGGAATCCAAGAGAACAATGTAGACACACGAAGTCAGTGGATGGAGTAGGCTTCGGCACAGGCACAGGGGAAGAAACAGTCAAGCCTGGGTGCTTTGAGCGAAAGTGAAGCTTCAATCCAGCGGCTGATCGACAGACAAGATCACAGCACGGACAGGATAGACCAGAAGACGCGGGGATACCCGCAGGGGCGGGGATGTGAGAGTCAGAAACTGCTGATAGGTTTTGACGCAATGTGATTTCTGCCCAGTGCTCTGAATGTCAAAGTGAAGAAATTCAACCAAGCGCGGCTAAACGGCGGGAGTAACTATGACTCTCTCTAGCGAAGAATCCAATGTCTTGCTGTGTGTTTCTTGTCTTCGCCAATGTTCTAGTGCCCACCTGCCTGGTGGGTGCTCCGAGGAACTGGTCCCTGTCTTTTCTGTGAACTCGGCCCTGTCCTCCTCGGTGAGTCTTAGTAATAGCGCGCTACCTCCTCGTGGTACTCCTGGAGTCACGGATTTCTCTTCTTCTTCTTCGGATGTTGAGTTGTTCGTCAGCCAAACGCGTGCTAGATCCCACGGCGTCGGTGACTCCGTAGATTATTCTACTGAACCCAGCCCTCCGGCTGCGGCTGAACAACCTGTCTCTACAGGCGTTCTTGAATCCCGTTTATTGACCTGCCCGAAGTGTGTTCGTCTCGTTCGTTCTGCAGTTGGTGTGAAGCTGCATTTTCGAAGCGCCCATCCGGAACTATATGGACTTCCGTCTGTGTACGACCCACCCACTACGAACCAATCTACCCGACCAACCGATGATTCCGACGTTATCAACTGCCAGTATTGTGAGAAAGCCCTCCCTACCGCACGAGGATGCTCTATGCACACGAAGAGTGCGCATCCTGATGAGTACCACCGAAACAGAATCCACTTAGCGCCTGTCCGGTCAGTGTGGACGCCGCAGGAGGACAATTTGTTGTGCAGCCGTGCAGCTGCCCTCCTGGCAGATGGTCAACTGTCCCTGCGTGAGCTTGCACGAAGGCTGCAGGGGGTTTTTCCCACGAGAAGTGCGGAAGCCATCTACAAAAGGCTTAGCAAAGTGGAAAAGGATGATCTCCTTTTGAGGAATCCATTGGAGGCTATATCTAGACCAACTGTCCGATCCCCTCCCAACTCTACCCCCCCCCCCCTCCTAACAACCCTACGGAAGAGAGTGAAACGGTTGAGAACTGCTGTTACTCAGTTAACTGATTCACCTTGTCAGGCCCTCGCGTCAGACGACCTTGTGTCTCTAGCGGTAGACCTGCTCATGGGAGAGATTGATATCGCTCACGCGCACAGACGTATGGATGCGCATGCCAAAAACGTTTTCCCATGACGTTGGCGTCCAGGAGTGAACCGCCGGCCAAAGACTGATAAGCCACGTAACAAACGAGAACTCCGGAAAGCTCAGTATGCAGAGGTGCAGGCCCGCCTGGCAAAGCGCCCTAAACTGGCTGCACAGTTCATCCTATCGGGCGACTGGCGATCGGCGTCAGGTGCTGAGCCGCCTAGGCCAGCTGGGACACTGGACTACTGGAAAGCAATTTCTGAGACACCCAGTGGTCAGGACCAACGCCCCGTACCACCTGTAGTGAAGCATTGGAGTTTGTTGAACCCTGTTTTGAGTACCGATGTCACCCGCGAGATTCGGAAAATGCGCGGATCGGCTGCAGGGATCGATGGCTTGGACGTCAGTGTTATTGCGGCTTGGCCGCCGGCTGCCATTGCGGGGTACTTGAATGTCATCTCCTTCCCAGTACCGACCTATTGCGGTAGCTAATGTGCTCCCACGCATGTTGAACCGCGCTGCTGTCCGTCAGCTCGGTTCCAGTTTGGATTTCAGGAACGGGACGGCACAGCCGAAGCTACAGGTCTCTTGCACGGGATACTCCGGTACGCAGTCACAACTCCCAAATCGGTTGCGGTGGCGGTACTTGATGTGTCCAAAGCGTTTGACTCTGTTAATCATGAGACTATCTTGCGCGCGGCCGCTGCTGGTGGCGCACCGCCTCCTCTTCTCTCCTTTCTTGACTCCACCCATTCACGCCTAACGACCCA